TTATGAAACTTAAAAATATTTGGAAAGACTGGCATTAAACTTTTGCTGCATGTACTTTTGAATGGTTAAACGGTTTTTAAAAAGAAATTTTTGTTTCTATGTCTAATCAAATACTTGGCAACTTGTATGATCTCATATTTATTTTTGGACAATTTTTATTTGTTAAATATTGTATATTTTACAAGTTTTGTGATTGTCGGCAAAAAACTTTTGGACTTGAATTTCACGTGAATACACTCCACATTCTCTTAGCAAACGGAAAAAGAAGCGAGCAAGAAGAGAAGCGATACTAACAATGAGCGAAACACGTGCATATACTCTGCTTTATTACAGAGTCACAGCAAACGTTATATATTTACACAATGTGCACAATTTTGTTGCACTCACATATATCGCGTCACGGCTGATTGCATTCGATATTTCTTACACGACCACGTACTAATTATATATTATACTGAGTCGTTTGCGTCCGATTGTACAGTGCCACGAAATTCCCAAAAACAATGGCCGTTAATGATCGACATGTGATCTCTTGTCGGAAATCGATTGGTTGAGGAAGACTTTTCGTGACATCGATTTATTGGATGCGTTCAGCTGCGCACGCAGGATTCTCATTATTTGCAATCCGTGTGAAGTGGACTTGATGGTCCCCGGACGGTGATGCCGCTTAGCGGAGCGCAAATGGCAATGTAATTTAGAGTTCTACCAACGCTCCATTTTATGATGCGAACAATATTAGAGCATACGATATTTTTATTTCTTATTTGATTATAAAATCATTGTATGTCGACGTTATAGCAGTAATGAGCTTGTACATTTTTATAATCTTGTTGATTATTCTGTCAGATTATTAAGAGCAGTGTTAGCAAGTAAACGATTGTACGAGTTCGGGAAAACACTAACGTACGAACATCTGGCTTTCGATTTTCGCAAGTTTTACGCACCACCGCCGAAGCATCTTAAACATTTCCTTGAAGGCAGCTTGTCTTTTAAGGATGTCGGATACATTTGGCAGTATCCGTAAGTCAAATTAGGAGTATTTTTCACGTATCTCACAGTCCGCTTCGTGTATAAAATAAAAATTTTTGTACAATCGTTGTTATCTTCGTCGTAACTACACATTAATGTAGGTATAAACGAGTAAATTAATAAGTATTAAATTAAAGATGATAAATATACATTTAACTGTTTCACATTAGATACAGCAGCTTATTAAAATTTGAAAAATTGGCGACGCGGCGAAAGCGTCTATAAAGACGTGGAGTTGTTCAAAGAGGCCGGCGATAGAATTATCGTGGAGAACAGTAGCCACGGTTTGAAACGCGATATTTCCCTAATGAAGAACGTATTATAGCCCAAAGGCTATCCGCGATAAATCTTGCATTTCGGCAACGCATGCACAGCAGCGAGCGGAAATGCAAGAATGCAAGCTCGCGAAGCGAGCGAGCGCAAATCAAGGTCGCATGGGAAGACCACACCTGACTTCCCATGCCCAAATATGGTCCGATCGCGGACCATCGA